TACAACTCAAAGTTAGAGAGCAACAAGAAAAGCCCAGCATAAGCAGAAGGAAGGAGATAGTAAAGATCAGAGCGGAGATAAATTACATAGTCTAAAAATACAGTACAAAAGTTCAACAAAACTAAAAGCTGGTTCTTTGAAAGGATAAACAAGATTGATGAACCTCTAGCCAGACTCACCAAGAAGCAAAGAGAGAGGACCCAAATAAACAAAATCAGAAATGAAAGAGGTGAAGTAACAACCGATCCCAAAGAAATACAAACGATTATGAAAAAATACTATAAACAACTCTATTCCAACAAAATGGACATCCTAGGTGAAATGGACATATTCTTAAAAAAATACAATCTCTCAAAATTCAACCAAGAAGAATCAAAAATCCTGAATAGGCAGATAACTACTGAAGAAATTGAAGCAGTGATCAAAAATCTTCCAGCAAACAAAATCCCTGGTCCAGATGGCTTTACAGGTGAGTTCTACCAAGCATTCAAACCTATCCTACTCAGACTATTCCAAAAAATTAAAGAGGAAAGCACACTTCAAAGCCAAGGATGATGCAATATCTGCAAATCAATAAATGTCGTACATCACATAAACAAAGAGACAAAAATCACATAATCATATCAATCGATGTAGAAAAAGCATTCGACAATATCCAACACCCTTTCTTGATTAAAACTCTCAGCAAAGTGGGAATAGAAGGATCATACCTCAACATAATAGAAGCCCTATATGACAAACCTACAGCCAACATCATACTCATTGGGCAAAAACTAAACTCATTTCCCCTAAGAACATGAACAAGATAGGGATGCCCACTTTCTCTGCTCCTGTTTGACAGTTTTGGAAGTGCTAGCAATAGCAATTAGACAAGAAGAAGAAATAAAAGATATCCAAATTGGAAATGAAAACGTAAAACTGTCATTCACAGATGACATGATACTGTACGAAGAAACCCCTAAAAACTCCATCAAAAAATTATTAAACTTAATAAATGAATTCGGTAATGTAGCAGGATACAAAATTAATGCAAATAAATCGGTGGCATTTCTATACATCAATAATGAACATACACAAAGAGAGACTAAAAAAGCTATCCCATTTACCATCGCACCAAAAAAATTAAGCTAACTAGGAATATACTTGACTAAGGAGGTAAAAGACCTATACGCAGAAAATGACAGGACACTGAAAAAAGAGATAGAGGAAGACATAAACAGATGGAAGAAAA